TTCTGTTCTGTTCTGTTCTATTCTATTCTAAAAACCAAAGGTATAAGTACCTTTAGGCAAAACCTGGCTTAAAACCAATAACTGTCAGAGGGACTTTGGAGTCCTAGTGGACGATCACATAAGCATGAGTCGGCAGTGTGCGGCATCAGTTAAAAAAGCTAATACTTTTTTTCTGTTTGGTTGTATAAACAGAGGCATAAAATTGCATGAAGTACTGCTTTATAAAGTCTTAGTAAGACCACACCTGGAATATTGAATCCAGTTTTGGTCCCCGCATTACAAAAAAGTTGTTCAGACTTTGCAAAGACCAACTAAGATGATTAAAGGCCTGGAGACCAAAATATATGAAGAACAATTGCAGGATTTAGACATGGCTAGTCTAGAGAAAAGAAAGTCTAGGTGGGACATGATAAGAGTCTTCCAATATTTGAGGGGCTGCCCCAAAGAAGAGGGGGGGAGGTCAAATTATTCCCCAAAGCACCTGAAGGCAGGAAAGAAGCAAGGGATGGAAATTAATCAAGGAGAGAAGCAACCTGGAACGAAGGAGGAATGTCTTGAAAGTTATGGGAAGCTGCTCTTTGCTAAGCACTTCGCAGTGGCTTCTTGGATTGTGGACAAAGGACCCCCAGGTTCCATTTCATGGTTATGATGCCCCCAAATGGGAACGTTCACTATTAGCTTTTAAAACATGACTTCAAAAGAACTATGTTGCTACTCATGCGGTCTTCACTTCTCCTCTCTCCCACGTTAACAGCTTCCCTTATGATTATTCTTCCCCATTTTTGTGTTGTTTATTGTAGACGCAAAGCCAAACAAAACCTTCAAAATATTATTGCAGACAACTTCTCTTGAAAACTCCTTTTTGCCACATGACTCTGGGGTACCCCGTGCTCAGCACCTGGGAGATCATGTTATCTGGCAAGTCCCATGCCGAGATGCAGCTTCGTACCCTGACAGTCTTCAGGGTCTCAATGACTGAAATAAGACGTCCTCAGAGCTGCCGAGAGTCTGAACCAACTGAGGTGGGCTTACTCTGCCAACTTTGCCAAAGGTTAGGATGGCTCACCTTCTTTTTTTCCAGGACTATCACATGCCTTTTTCTCAAAATAGTTGGTCAACAAGGGCCTGAGTCTTGTTTGGGAAAGTCTTGGGTGTTTTTCAGCGTAGGGGAAGAGAAGGATGAGTCTCACCTATTCCAGGTACTCATTGAGAACCTGAAAGGAACCTGCTGAGATATTTTGGATCAGGGCTTCCTAACCTTGGCCTCTTTAAGATATGTGGACCAACCCCCCCAGAATTCCCCAGTCAGACAGCCATTCAATTCTGGGAGTTGAAGTCCATGTGTCTTAAAGGGGCCAAAATTGGAAAACTGTCCTCAGAGGACCCCTCTCTGGACTTCAGATGAGTTGGAGAGTTTCAGGCTCCCTCAACCATGTTCATTGACATGTACCTCCTTCAGATGGGTCTTGGATGACCTCCATCCTCCTATTGTGCACAAACATTGAGCTGAGAAAGGTCCTCAAGACAGTGAGAGAACAAGCTGGAGCATCCCAATGTTCATGTGATCAACATTAAAATAGGTCATCCAGGTTTTGTGCAGCAAATATTAGATAAGGTGCTTACATGCTCCACCAAAGGGAAAGGTCTAGCTTCATTCTCTTGTAAGACGAAGGAGTATTGCTAAAGATGTGACTAACTAAGAATTAGGCAAGTAGGAACTTGTCCAATGGCTTTGAAAGAGTTAGTCTTGACCATAAAGGGGAACTTTTTCTAAAAAAAAATGTCAAAACAGTAAGAAAGGTGAAGTCAAATTGCTTCACACTTAGAACACAGAGTAATAGTGTTGGAAGGGACTGTGGAAATCTACTAAGTCACCCCTAACTGCCTGCTCAAGCAGGGGAACTTACTGTAGACCAGGGCTGTCCAACCTTGGCCCCTTGAAGCCTGGCGGACTTCAATTCCTGGAAACTTGTCACCTCTTGGAGAGATAGCAAGCGGAGAAGGGGCCAGGGAGGAATTAACATGTTGCTTCTTTGTACCGATGAAATCCACACCACACTAAGGGGTGGTGGTGTTTCTAATTCCCTTTATCTAAGCTGCATGCCTGGAGGGATATCAGACCCTGCTTTGAACATCGGCTGGATCTTTTTCCTTTTCAATAAAGAATTCCTTTTGAAACACCCAGTTTTCAAAAGTTCATTCTTATCGTCTGAAGGGGAGAGAGTCTGGGCCTTATAAAGACTTTCTTCACACAGTGCATGATTAACTTCTGTAACTCATTACAACTGGGCCATTCATATAGAAATCCCAGAGGAAACCTATTCATACCCCTGTGATCTGTGACTGGAAGAGAGTCCACTTAAAGTTTGCATTTGAAATTATGCAAAGCCTGATACAAATAAAAGGAAATACTGCTGAATCTATCACAAAGCCTTCTGTGTAAGATGCTCGTGACAGCAATAGAAACGGGGAGAGGGTTATATATGTCCATTGATGAACTTCCCCAACTGGAGGGTGACAAGAGGTCACGAGGATGACTGGGATGGGAATTGATTCAGTATTGCCACATACTCATTTCAAGCAAAAGAGAGTATTTTTAAGCTTGGGACTGAAACGAGGGAACCTTCATCAGGCGTGGGATGCAAATTCTTTAACAACTGGTTCTGTGGGCATGGCCAGATGGGCATGGCCATGTGACTGGGTGGGTGTGCTTCTTCTTCTTCTTCTTTTTTGTAGCACACACCACCACTACTACCCGGGTTTTTTGGCCTCCTGGGCCTCAAGGAAGCCTCCTGGTCGAAGCAGTAAGACAGCGAGGGGGATCCCGGCACAGCTGATCAATGGAACAGCTGATTGTCATGAGGTGGGGGAGAAATAACTTAAGGACTGACTGGGTGGGGAGGAGCTGGGCCAGCCTGGGGCACAATTTGCTGGTTCTCCGAACTGCGCAGAATCACAACAACCGGTTCTATAGAACCGGTCCGAACCGGTAGAATAGCAATAGCACTTAGACATATACTGCTTTATAGTGCTTCCCAGCCCTCTCAAAGTGGTTTACAGAGTCAGCCTTTTGCCCTCCAAGAATCTGCATCCTTATTTTACCCACCTCGGAAGGACGGAAGGCTGAGTCAACCTTGAGCCTGGTGGGATTTGAACTGCCAAATTGCAGTGGGAGTAGCTTGCAGTACTGCACTCTAACCACTGTTCCACCGAGGCTCCACCCCTGTCCTTCATGCTCTTTGAGCTTGTTGGTTTTCTTGCAGATGTTTTATGACCCAACTAGGTAACATCATTAGTAGAAGGGAGAGTGGAGTTTGCTTTCAATTTATACTGCTGGTCCTCAACTTACAACCACAATTGGGACCAGACTATTGAAACTGGATCTAAAGTGGATCCATTCTGGGACTCCTGCCCCTCATCTCCACCCGATTTACTTAATTTAAGTAAATTGCCAGAGACGTCCATAGAATGCAGTCAAAAAAAGTGAAGATGGCAGTTGAGGCGATGCATTCAAAGCCCCTCAGATGCCATCTTGACTTTTTTGACACTCCCAAGGTAAAAAATGATTGCTGTTCCTAAGTGGCTCTGTCTTGCTGTTCAGAGGACTTTCACAGCTACTGAAAATAAAACCAAAAACAGCCAGTTTGCACAACTGTTACCAGTGATGACTTGTTTTGTGGTTTCATTTCCTGACTGTGCAGGAAAGAGGCCCACTTTTACCCCACAAAAAGGGCCTTTTTGTGGCTATTTTTCTA